AATTCATTGCTAACTCCCAGGTCATAAAGATTTTCCCTGATAGTTTTAAAATTTTAACTCTTATATTTGAGTAATTGATCCATTTTGAGTTAATTTTTTTTTGTCATGCGAGGTAGGAGTATAGCTTCATTCTTTTGTACATGGATATCCATTTCTTCCAGCACCATTTGTTGAAGAGCCTGTTGTTTCCTCCATTAAATGGTCTTGGCACCCTTGTTGAAATCAATTGACCATGGATGTATGAGTTTATCTCAGGACTCTCAGCTCTATTCTTTTGGTCTATAGGTCTGTCCTTTTGTGCTAGTACCATACTGTTTTGATTACTCTGTGGCTTAGAAGTGAGTTTTGAAATTGGGAAGTGTGAATCCTCCAGTTTTGTTTTCATTTTTTCATTTTCGGGGGTTGGGGGCAAAGGGAGAGGGAGAGAGAGAGAGAATCTTAAGCAGGCTCCATGCCCAGTATGGAGCCCAACACGAGGCTCGATGTCACAACCCTAATATTGTGACCTGAGCTGAAATCGAGAGTCATTGCTTAACCAACTAAGCCACCCAGGTGCCCCATTGTTTTCATTTCATAGGATTGTTTTGGTTATTTGGTGTGCCTTGCAATTCCATATGAATTTTAGAATCAGCATTTCCATTTCTGCAAAAAAGGAGTATTGGAACTTTGATAAGGATTACATGGAATCTATGGATCACTTTGGGTAGTATTGCCATCTAAAAATATTGAACCCTCAAATCCATAAACACAATGTCTTTTCATTTATTTAGATTTACTTTAATTTCAGCAATATTTTGTAGTGTTCAGTATACTGGTCTTGTACCTCCTTGATTAAAAAACTTAACCTGTGTATTTTATTATTAATGCTATTATAAATGGAATTGTTTTCTCAATTTCCTCTTCAAATTGTTCACTGCTAGTGTATAGAAATGCAACTGTTTTTTGTGTGTTGATTTTGTATCTTGCAACCTTGATAAATTTGTTTCCTCTAACGTTCTTTTGGTGTGGGTTTTTTTAGGATTTTCTGTATATATGGTCATGTCATCTGCAAATAAAGATTATTTTACTTCTTCCTTTCTTGTTTGGATCTCTTTTATTTCTTTTTCTTGCTTACTTGCCCTGGCTAGCACTTCCAGTACACTGTTGAATAGAAGTGGCTGAAAGGGTATCCATGTCTTATTCCTGATCTTAGCTTTCAGTCTTTTACTATTGAGTGTGATGGTAACTTCAGGTTTTTTTTTTTTTTTTTTTAATAAATGCCCTTTATGATGTTGAGGAAATTCCCTTGTATTCCTAGTTGGCTGATACTTTTTATCATGAAAGAATGTTAGATTTTATCCAGTGCTTTTCTACATCATTTGAAATGGTCACGTGTGTTTTTTTCCTTCCTTATATTAATGTGGTATATAATATTGATTTTCATATTGTTGAATAGATGAACTACTCTTCCATTCCCAGGACAAATACCCTTTGTCATGATATACATTCCTATGAATATGCTGCTATATTGTTTGTTAGTATAGATGATCCCTATTTTGGGGGCACCAGGGTGGCTCAGTCGTTAAGCGTCTGCCTTCGGCTCAGGTCATGATCCCAGGGTCCTGGAATCGAGCCCTGCTCAGCGGGAAGCCTGCTTCTCCTTCTCCCACTCCCCCTGCTTGTGTTCCTGCTCTCACTATCTCTCTCTCTCTGTCACATAAATAAATAAAATCTTTAAAAAAAAAAAGTTTAGATGATCCCTATTTTTTGCAGGTTCCATATTTGTGAATTTGCCTACTTGCTAAAATTTATTTCTAAGCCCAAATTGATAATTGTGGTGCTTTTGTGGACATGTACAAAGTGGCAAAAATCTTGAGTTGCCTGATGCACATGTTGCCAGCTGATGTTGAACAAGGGTGATGCTTAACCAACTGCACCACCCAGGCTCCCCCTAGAATTCCATCTTTATACGTTGTATGCCCATTAACCTAGATTTAAAATTACTGTTTTATACGTTTGTATCTTAAATCATATAGGAAAAAAGGATTTATAAGCCAAAAATATAATATTACTGACTCTTATATTTATGAATGAAGCTACCTTTACTATTGTTCTTTATTTCTTCATATGGCTTCAAGTTACTGTTTAGTGTCTTTTCATTTTATTTTATTTTTTTAAAAGATTTTATTTATTTAGTCGAGAGAGTGAGAATGAGAGAGAGAGCATGAGAGGGGGAAGGGGGCAGAGAGAGAAGCAGACTCCCTGCTGAGCAGGGAGCCCGATGTGGGACTCGATCCTGGGACTACAGGATCATGACCTGAGCTGAAGGCAGTTGCTTAACCAACTGAGCCACCCAGGCTCCCATGTCTGTTCATTTTAGCATGGAGAACTTTCTGTAGCATTTCTTGCTCCTTCAGTTTTTGTTTAGGAGTGTCTTAATTTCTCCTTTGGTTTTGAAGGACAGTTTTGCTGGGTATAGAATTCTTGGTTGACAGTTTTTTCTTCTATCATCAGATTCTACGCCCTTCCTAGGGTTTGTTGCTTTTTATTATAGGTTGTTGTTTGCTTGTTTAGTGAGTTTTCTAAGCTATTTTTGTAAAGTCTGTATTCTTTGTCATGTGTGGCCTCTGAAGTTGGGTGTTCTGTCTTTTCCTTCCCAGCGTTTTCGTTCTGTCTGTTCCTTGTCCCAGTTGTTGTCCCTTGCCCCAGGCTGCTGCATCAATTAAATGATTGCAGTAAAAGAATGAGAATGTTCCAGGTCCAGTGAAACCAAGGCAAGCCTTTGTGCCAATCCTTCACGTGGCTGCCAGATAGGTTGTGAAACCCAGCATCACAATTCTTTGAGAATAAGATCTGTATTGCTTTCTCTGGCATTAGGATTGCCAGTTGCTGTCCTCAAAGCCACTACTGATTTGGGATGTAAGAGATGGTAGACAGGCAATTTAAAATGCCACAGCATTCTCTTACTACAAAGCAGCAACTTCTTTTTTCACTAATCCTTGCCCTAGTTTTTGTAAGGTTTTTTTTTTTTATTAGATTCCAGAGTTCTGTAAAAGTTGATTCTGACATTATCTGCCAGCTCATATTAATTGTTTTTTTTTTGGATGGATGGAGCCCTAGAATTCCCTACTCTGCCAGAAATCCCTGATTTGGAGATTTTTCAGGATATCATTAACCACTAGTAAGGAAATTGGGAGGCAGGGAATTGATTTATGGGCATGGGAGAGGTTATTTTTATTTGGACATGTGTGTTGTATTTGAGGTGCTAATAGTACAATCTGTAGATGTCTAGTGACAGTTGGAATTGTAGTGCTTGAATTCCAGAAAGAGCTTAGACCTGCAAAGAGACCTTGGAACCTTCTATACAGAAGTTACAGAAAATAAAAGTATAAGATATCCTTGAAGTAGAAAGGAAGTCCAGGCATCATATCTTGGGAAACACTTTCAACTGAGGAATCTATTCACCTTTTCATTCAGCAAACATTCACTTGTTCCTATTGTGTGGGTGCTGGAGATAACAAAGGTATTAATATCCAATTTTCTGCCAGGAAACTCACTCTCATATTAAGGAAGGCAAGAAAATAAGTACAATACAATTTTATAACAAGGTTTAGAGGAGCCCAGACAGAGATACACAAGAATATCTAAAAAGGTAAGACAGGAGACTCTCAAGGGAGTTAAAGGAGAAAACAATAGAATAATCTATGATCTTAGTTGCTGCATAGAGAGTTTAAAAAGAATGAGGGCTCTAAAGGTACTGATTTGGCAGTAAAGAGATGACACAGTTTTTATAAGAATGGCTTAATTGAGTAGTTTGGTAGAATGGTAGAGATTAAAGGACCAGATCATAAGGAGTTAGGAGTGAATGAATGGTGAAGAGGTTGAAGGAAAAAAAGAGGCAGCTTTTTAAAGAATGGTGTAATTCAAAAGGAGTAGCAGAATTGATGTAACTTTATTTTGGAATAGAAGTGATCTGTGAGTATGATTTTAGACTGTAGAAGGGACTGAGTAGGAGGGAAACAAGGATGGCCAAGAGTCCCAAAAGAGGCAGGAAAGGTGATATTTAAAAACCCAGGAGGATCAGAGATTGGAAACTTGCATGAAGAAAAAGAGTGAGGGTAATAAGAAAGAGTTTTGAGATTGTGGGAAGGTACAAGAAGTTTTATCTAGGAATGCCTCTGTTTTCTCAGTAAAAGCAGAACACAAAATCATGTGCTAAGAAATGATCAGTAGTGAAAACACATGACAAAAATTGACGTAGCATACATTTATGATGGTAGTACCATGTGGTGCTTTTCTCATTTCTTTCAACAAATATACATTAAGCATCTACTGTATACTAAGCACTGTATGAGATCCTTGGTGTTATATCTGTGAACAAAGTAAACAAAAATCCCTGCTCTTCTGTAGCTTGCATGTGAACAGGGTGAGGGTAGACAAACAAGGAAATAATGTATTATTTTAAAATAAACATAATGAGGAAAATAGAGCAACATGAACCTGGGAACTAAGAAAGCAAATGGAAGGATTACCCAGACATAACTACAATCTTATATTACATATCAAGTTATAATTTATTGTTCTGTTTCCATACAGCTAATTGCAAAATTAGGTTGATAAAAGTAAGACAAGAATATGTACTTAGATTGTAGATATGAGAGAAATAATCTATATTTACATTTGGAAGAAATTTTGTTAAATTTAGGAAAACTATCATTATGTTATACAATTATTTCAACACCTTTGAGAGAAAAGTGAGAAGGTAAACTGTCATGTAATAACTGCATTTACATGTTTGGTTATGAAAAGAATTTGTGAAGGAAGTCAAAAGGTACAACTTCCAATTATAAAATAAGTCATGAAGATGTAAAATAAAGGAAAAAAAGAAATTTGTTATCTACAAGTTTAAAGGCTGAAAGAGCTCCAGAGGTGAAGATCCTTTTTAAAGAATGAATAAATTGGGTTTTTTGGTTTTCATTATCTTATATTCTCTTCTTATTACTCTTTTTTTATGTGAACAGGCATTGGAAAAGTGAAAAGAAAACATAGTGTGCCAGATTCTGCATCTCCTGCTGATGATAGCTTTGTTGACCCAGGGGAACGTCTCTATGACCTCAACATGCCTGCTTATGTGAAATTTAACTACATGGCAGAGAGAGAGGATGAATTATCATTGATAAAAGGGACAAAGGTGATCGTCATGGAGAAATGCAGTGATGGGTGGTGGCGGGGTAGCTACAATGGACAAGTTGGATGGTTCCCTTCAAACTATGTAACTGAGGAAGGTGACAGTCCTTTGGGTGACCATGTGGGTTCTCTGTCAGAGAAATTAGCAGCAGTTGTCAATAACCTAAATACCGGGCAAGTGTTGCATGTGGTACAGGCTCTTTACCCATTCAGTTCGTCCAATGATGAAGAACTTAATTTTGAGAAAGGAGATGTAATGGATGTTATTGAAAAGCCTGAAAATGACCCTGAATGGTGGAAATGCAGGAAGATCAATGGAATGGTTGGTCTGGTGCCAAAAAACTATGTTACCATTATGCAGAATAATCCATTAACCTCAGGTTTGGAACCATCACCTCCGCAGTGTGATTACATTAGGCCTTCACTCACTGGAAAGTTTGCTGGCAATCCATGGTATTATGGGAAAGTCACCAGGCATCAAGCAGAAATGGCATTAAATGAAAGAGGGCATGAAGGTGATTTCCTCATTCGTGATAGTGAATCTTCGGTAAGTTGGTTTTCAAATAAATGGAAATAGAGCTCTGAGTATTAAAAAAATAATAGAAGATTGGAAGGGTTAAGTTTCTTCCCTAAAATTAACCAGGTGATAAGTTGGGACATACATTTAGATGTTCTGAACCTGAAATCAGTGTTCTTTACACTTGTATTTATTTTGGATAAAATATAGCCCTAGCAGTGATAACTACACTGGATTATTTGGCCTTGTTTAATTCTGTTTGTCTTGCCTTTCTGAAATACCTCCTCTTGCGTTAAACTGAAAGATGGAGAAAACTGAACCATGGCTTCTTCAGAGTAAAACAACACAATGAACTAAACTGGGAAAATACTTTTTTTTGAGAAAAAGAGAGAGAGCATGAGTGGGGGAAAGGGCAGAGGGAGAGAGAGAATCTTAAGCAGGCTTCACGCTCAGCGCAGAGCATAATGTGGGGCTTGATCTCACAACCCTGAGATCATGACCTGAGATGAGGTCATGACCTGAGATGAAATCCTAAGTCAGACGCTTAACTGATTGAGCCATCCAGGCACACCTGGGAAAACATTTCTTAAATGCATATTGGATGTGCTGTCATGCTTAGTAAAGGAAATCCCTAAATTAAAAAAATTAAGTTTTAACTTTCTTCATAGATTGGTTGTTTGGAAGTTGGAAACCCTTAAATTATTTACCTCAAAAACCTATTTTAATACTCACTGTATTTGAAATGCATTTGCAATAAAAGATACATTTTTTCCAATACTAGTAAAACAGTAAAAGTATAAAACCATAAAAATTGAATAATAATTATATGGGCTCTTTTGGTTAATGTTTAGGATATTAGAATTTGATGATATTTATTTCCCTTTAAAATGGTCTTTATTTTTCCTTTTAAAAGGATACCACTACTTTTCCACTTTTCAAAACATTAGTATTGGTTTTGTTTCTGTGTATGGAGTTGTACAAAAGTGAACGTGTGATTGTGTAAAAGGTTGAAAGTCGGAAGAAAACCTATCTGTTTGGTGTGTGTGTGTGTGTACACATGCATATGGTGTATATATGTTTATAAGAGGGAGGGAAGAAAGTAGAGAAGGAGAAACCAAGGCTAATTGAACTGCTTGATATGAAGTTCAGGAAATGGGGCCTATACATAACCCCTAAGGAAGAGCAGGATCGATGATAGGGAAGAGTGGTGGGATTTGTTTTCTGTTAGATGCCTGACTTAACCCTGCTTTCCAGGACAAGCAATGGGCAAGAGGGGTTAGGAAGTGAGTGACCTCAGAGCAGGTGGTAAGAGTAACCATAGGTATAGGATGTTTCCAAGAAGCCCACTGTTTGAAACTTTGTCAGTAATTATATAAAAGGAGACTTTTAGACTGTTCAGAAAAGTATTAGGTTAAAACAAAACAAAACAGGGGCGCCTGGGTGGCTCAGTTGGTTAAGCGACTGCCTTCGGCTCAGGTCATGATCCTGGAGTCCCTGGATCGAGTCCCGCATCGGGCTCCCTGCTCGGCAGGGAGTCTGCTTCTCCCTCTGACCCTCCCCCCTCTCATGCTCTCTGTCTCTCATTCTCTCTCTCAAATAAATAAATAAAATCTTAAAACAAAACAAAACAAAACAAAAAACCTAAGAAAGTAGCTCGATTACAGAACACTGTTTTTTCTTGTGGTGGGTAATTGAGCATAGATATTATCCAAAATACACCATTATTTTTAGCAGTAGAATTTTTAAAGTAAAGATCTCAAACAGGCATACTGTGTTTGACCTGAGCAATGTTTTTTATTTTTATTTTATTTTTTTATTTTTTTAAAGATTTTATTTATTTATTTGACAGAGAGAGAGCGAGAGAGGGAACACAAGCAGGGGGAGTGGGAGTGGGAGAGGGAGAAGCAGCCTTCCTGCGGAGCAGGGAGCCCGATGCGGGGCTCGATCCCAGGACCTGAGCCGAAGGCAGACGCTTAACGACTGAGCCACCCAGGCGCCCCTGAGCAATGTTTTTTAAACATTCGAATTTGTTACCAGTATTTAAATACTGAGAGATTTATTATAAAAATTCAGATGACAGACTTCCTTTTAAAATTGGAAGGCCTGCCAGCATTGCCCCTATTCCTACAAGGCAACAATCACAGCTAAGTGGCCACCTCCTTTAGATTGGCCATGCACTGTTCCTTCTCTCTATCCACCCTGTCACTTGTTTACATGTCTTTTTACCCTTGTAGGCATTTGAGTTTATGACCTCTCATTAGTGTCTATCATCTTTGAGAATTCAGAACATTGTCTCAGCTAGTCTGTAAGATAGCTACTATTAGCTCACATTAGCTTATGTTTTCTCATGTGTTTCTCCAGTTGTCTGGCAGGAGAGAAGATAGCTGTTGTGCTTCAGATGTTAAACTTTAAACTAAAGGATTTGCTGTGGGTGTTAGAGCATATTATTTAAGAGACTCTGGAGTTGGGGCGCCTGGGTGGCTCAGTCGTTAAGCATCTGCCTTCGGCTCAGGCATGATCCCAGGGTCCTGAGATCAAGCTCCTCATCGGGCTCCCTGCTCAGCGGGAAGCCTGCTTCTCCCTCTCCCACTCCCCCTGCTTGTGTTCCCTCTCTCTCTGTGTCTCTCTGTCAAATAAATAAATAAAATCTTTAAAAAAAAAAAAAAGAGAGAGAGACTTTGGAGTCTGACTGCTTGAGTTTGAATCCTGGCTCTCTTATTAACTAGATGGATGATTTTGAGCAACTTAGCTTCTCTTGGCCTGGATTTTCTCATCTCTGAAAGGGGTTGGTTGGAGGTATAAAGGAGATAATCTATGTAAATAATTTAGCATAGTGCCTAGTACTTAGCTAAAATTTGAGCACTTACTGTTAATAGTCTAATATAAAATGGATGTCTTTCAAAATGTTTACCCTGGGGCGCCTGGGTGGCTCAGTTGTTAAGCGTCTGCCTTTGGCTCGGGTCGTGATCCCGGGGTACTGGGATCGAGTCCCGCATCGGGCTCCCTGCTCGGCGGGAAGCCTGCTTCTCCCTCTCCCACTCCCCCTGCTTGTGTTCCTGCTCTCGCTCTCTCTCTCTGCTAAATAAATGAATGAAATCTTAAAAAAAAAAAAAATGTTTACCCTATGTGTTTTTTTTCTCTTTTAGCCAAATGATTTCTCTGTATCACTAAAAGCACAAGGGAAAAACAAGCATTTTAAAGTCCAACTAAAAGAGACTGTCTACTGCATTGGGCAGCGTAAATTCAGCACCATGGAAGAACTTGTAGAACATTACAAAAAGGCACCAATTTTCACAAGTGAACAAGGAGAAAAACTGTATCTTATCAAGCATTTGTCATGATAATGCTGACCAGAAGTGACTGCCTCACAGCTATAATTCGTCATGTAATTAAAGACTGAGAAAATGTCAGTCCAGTCATGTTTGATTGGAAATTGCTTTCTGACCCTACATGAGAATTGACTATAATACATAAGTATTTTTATTATAACTCAGCCCATACATATATACTACGTATGCAAAGCATCTGCACAAAGCAGTTCCTTATCCTTGGTCTTCTGTTTTATTGTTTTCTTTGCTGTTTTTCTCTTTGCTTCTAATATTAAGGTTTTATATTTTGAAAAAAATAATGCAGATCAAAAGTCTTTACATGGAAGAATTTATTGGTTTATTTTCTTTATTTCCTTGTACGGGCACCGTATTTGTCACTTCTGCAATGGTTTCTCTTCATATAAAATTATTATATCAGTATATGGCATATGCTAAAATAAATTTCTTGGACAATGTTTTTTTCTTTGACTAAATAGCAATAATAAATGGAAAATTAGAAATTATTTTCAGGTATTTGTTGTAAGCCATTGTAAATATCAAGTATGTTGTGTCTGCCATTTTAAAAAATTTATTCATTGTCTTCATTGTAAAGCAAAACAAATAGGACATACGTTTAAAAACGTATCTTGTACACTTTTAATTTACAGCTGTTGGAAACAAAAATCTCTAAATTTCTAGGATTTTTGGGGGGGTGCTTCTTATCTGGTTATTTAAGAGAATAAAGCAGTCTCTGAGATACTTAGCTTTTCAAACTGTAAATGGATGCTCTAGTGTTATATATTACTTTTTCCCCTAGTGTTATTTTACCAAAGCATCTTGTATTGGGGTATATCTGTGTCAGTGTGAAAAAAGCTGTGGCCAGATATTGGGGAAATAGGAGGCCGTGAGATACTTGGTTTCCCTCCCACCTCTAAACGTCAGTAATTATCAGGCGTAGTAGTATTTCTACTATTTTCATTTCCTCCTTTCAGCTTTGGGTTTTGTTGACTAAGACACTAAAATGGATTATACCTGAGGAAAAGATGGGATGTGCCAAATGGTTAGAGAAAGTTATTTTTAAAATCTACTTTTTGGAGGGTTTCTGTTATGTTTTTGTTACTAAGCAGAAGTTTGGGTGTATGGATGAGAGGCTTTTATGGAGTATTGAATCTACTTCTGCAGGTCATAGAAGAAAACAACTGTATTTTGTGAACCCCCCCCATTATTAATTCTGGAATTTAAATTTAAGCAAAGTAACCTTCAATATATTAATTAAAATACTTACTAAAACCATATAACTTAGTAGGAAATCATATGGTATTTTCAAAAATTTCCCCAGTGCTGCCTAAGCAAATGAATGTTTTCTGTTCTTTAATATGTTATAGATAAGTATTTAATATACCAATATTACTGATGTTAAAATTGAAGTTGTCTAATTCCTGAGGTTTTTAGTTTGGGTTTTTTTTTTAATATTAAATATTTAGTTCTTTAAATCTTAAAATCATTTAAGACTGACATTGCCACTGGGTGGCAGCCCTGGCTTCTCCCACTAAGCAACAGGAGTTAGCAAATATAATTAAGACTTTGATGTACAATTTTTCATTTTCATTACATCCGCTTTTTAAAGCCTTTTAGTTCATATTTCATTATCTTTGTCAGTCTCCCTTTGTTTATTGAAATGATTATTAGTAGACTGTAATAGAAATAAAAGTCGTGTGCTTACCTTTTTTGCTGTAAAATCACTTGAATATAAGTTGAAGAAAATAGTTTCAAAGTGTTAAAATATGACTAGGTAGTAAACATCTTTTTATTTAAACAAACATTTGATGATGCTTTCTTTTTCTCCATTTTTCCCCCCCAGTCTTCCTTTTTTTTTTTTTAAGAGGTTTGTTTAAAAAAAAAGCAATTAATCTTTTGTATCACAGACATGAACTGTATTTATAGCAAACCCCACTGAGCTTATGTTAAGGATTTTGAGAAAGCAGCTAGGAATGGAGTAGCACTGGAAGTAGATTGCACATTTCTGTGCCATAATTAGATTCATAATAACTAGAGAGTTCCCAGATAGCCCACACGACCATTTTAACAAGCACTGCATTTACTTATCTTCCACAAGTTGGCCATCTGGTTGTTCAACAAAACAAAGCTTGAACAGCATCCAGGAAGTGAGGCAGGCAAACCAGGCTATAGAACTTTAACATTTGTTAAATCAAGCAAGAGAAAATGTATTCCACACAGATACAAAAGGTGTCATCACTCATCTTTTCTTTTTCTGTTGCCACATTTTTCTTCTTTCAGGTATCCTGTAGTTTCTCAAGTCCTTCTTTAGTCCCTCTCCTGTGCATGCACAGGTGGGCTGCAAAATGCCAGGGAGTTGATGAGCCAGTAATACCTATTGTGTGCTGTTATTATACTGGGACAAAAACCTCACTGGGAACTACGGAATTTTGTACTTAAACTTTTTATCGATTTTTAAAAAGTCTTCAACCAACCCTTATATCAATGACTGTTTTTATAAACCCTAATTTTACTCGAAGCAATTTTCTTAAGAATCAGAACAACCTTAAAAAACATCTATATAGCTAGTGAGTAGCAGGGCTTGTATTAGAAACTAGGTTTCCTTATTCCCAGCCTGATACATTCTGTTTGGTGACACACTGCCATCTGTCTGCTTGTTTTAGACTCAGAGTTCTGGGGGTAGCCTGGGTGGCTCAGTTGAGTGTCCAACTCTTGGTTTTGGCTCAGGTCATAAGCTCAGGGTCGTGGGCTCAAGCCTTGCATTGGGCTCTGCTCAGCAGGGATTCTGCTTGAGATTCTCTCCCTCTTGTGCTCTCGTTCTCTCTCTCTAAAATAAATTAAGTCTTACATTAAAAAAAAACAGGTAAAGAGTTCTGGGGAAGAGCATATTTACAGAAATTTTCTTCTACATAACGAGGAGACACTTAGCTATCAATTTGAACACAGATAACACACTTAACCCTGCCTAACCCACTTCTATAAATAACTTCTCCAAAATCTTGGAAGAAGTTATTTGAGAACTTTATATAAGTTCAGTAATGAAAGGCTATTGTTGCAGTATCTATTAATTGGTCATAGGTACTTAGGATTCAGCTGAATGTGTATGAACACATACAATGTATCTTTTACTATACACAGTAACACAGGTATGAAGCACAATTAAAGACAGTGTCACAGATATATCACTAAAAACAGGAAGGCTAACTAATCCATTGCTATTGCTGGCAGATGAGCAACTTGGGTTGGTAGAAAAAGGCCATCCTTATAGATACAGGTACATAAATTATCTCCAGCTTTAATGCTCCCATCCTGTCTTCTACTCCAGAGATTGCAAAGAAGCAGGGGCACTGCTGTCAGTGTAACTTGTGAGAATTAGGAAAAGGCACCTCTTACCCTTCACCCCCTGCCCAAATGCACGACCAGCCTTTTTCCTTGTAGAAAAGTCCAAATTTCACCACTGCCCCCTCCCACATCTTGGCTAGGTGCCCTGTTCAGGGTACAACCAAATAGGAATACAGTTCAGCCCACACTGTACAAAAAAAGGAATTGTTCACACTTAAAAATTGGGGAATTTAACATAAAATTTAGTTTTGGTTTCCCCTGAGTAATAAGCTGACAGTACTGGAATTGAATTCCCACAAGGTGACTATTGGATGGAACCTAATGTGAATGGTCCCTTTATGTTTATTAATGTACATGGTTAAAAAAAAAAAGTGTAAAAGTCTCCTTTCCAACCCTTATCTCCCTAGTTCTCATCTCCAAATGCAGTCGTTGTTAGGCCCTATTTCCTGTAACATGGAGTTTTTGGTTTAGAATCTGGAAACTTATTTTTCAGAAACACCTCAGATGCAATGTCCAAATCAACAAATTAGGAATGTAGCATTACAACATGATTTAGCCTTTCCACTTTAATATTTTGCTCCACGATAAGGGGGCCCTTTGTATTGTGTATATAGATAGATAGATCAGATAGATCTTTTAACTGTTTCCAAATGGCTTCACAACTGTAGTCACTTCTTCTTTAAAGGACATTTGATATAAGATGACATCTTCATTTTATGTTCTGAACAGCATCCAGTGGACTTTTTAAAAAATGCAACACTGCTGGGGAAAACCATTATTTGATTCTACTGTGAAGCAAGGTAGGAAGCTCCTCTCTTCTGATAAGCTGGTTCTATTGGTTTAGCGAGTTTATATGACTCAACTCTGTCATCTTCTAAACACGTGCAGACCAGCATACTATGCATACTCCACACCCTAATTTCTTGCTGTTACATGACCTAAACCAAGTCATGTAACCGAAAGGAACCGAAATATATTTTTCTAGTTTACCACTGAGGTGTTTTTTGATCTGAAAGTATACAGCTTGCTGAGACTTTTTTGTTTAATGAGTAGAACCTAAATTGAGTGTGTGAGGTTTTGAAGAACGGGAGGAGTTTCAGTTACAATCGGCCATGTTCACAGAGGTAAATTTTTAAACCAAAGTGTCTTTTTAAGATTATGTTTGCTGGCCAGAGTACTTTTATTATCGAATATTTCAGAATTGGTCTGTTGCTCACAGTGGCTTAGCACAAACATTTAATTTATCTACTGGTCTGGCTGATTTTTAAATGTTTCACTCAAATTAGCTTTTAAGGCTAGGTAAAACTGGGCTCAGTATTCTGGAATAATGTAAATTTCATTTTTAGTTATAACTACAGAAGAGAGAGTAGTCAATTTCCTTTTGTCCAGTTTTTTGGTACCTTTTGGAATAATAATGACTTTCAAGCAGGAAAATATAAATAGACAATTAAAAATAGACATCTAAGGTAAAGATACCTAGTTGTTTTAAATAAATCTCTGGGCTGACTCTAAGAAGATTTGTATCTGAGACTATATAGAGAAGTTGCAGATAGCCTTTGGATAATTATGGAGATATTTGGGTTCCATAATGAGACTGAAGTGTTAACCTGTTTTAGAAGAACGATTATTGAATTGATTTTCTTGGGCTCTTATGGAAGAAATTTGTAATCCCTGAATAAGCACGTTGTTTCTAGGAGTATGTAATGCCAAATTTTACTTGTTTTGATATGTTTTCTAGACTATAGATAAGAGGAATGTTACAGAAAACAAATACTGATTTCCTCAGGGTATATGCTAATCACTTGGTGCCAAGATGAAAAGAATATTATTTGAACTATTATATATGTATGATTATGTGTCAGTGTTTAGCTTTTGGAGATACTTATCCATCATCCAGCCATCCAACCAACTCACCTCAAATATTTGAATGCTCACGTGTCAGAGTTTTGAGCTAGCAATATGATACTGAAGAAAATAGACAAATCTGTCTAAAAGCTGTCATAAAATTTATATTGCTAGTGAAGAGATGCCTAACAGTGAAGTGCTCTAAAGAAAGAATAGAGCAGCAGGTTGAGGAGGCTGAGAGTGAGAAGTGGGGTGTTAATTTATATAGGGTGATCAAAGGACGCCTCTAATAAAAAAAATTGACCTTTGAGCATATTGTGTGCTCCACTTAATAGAATCACTGATGACTGACCAGGATTAAACCGGTGGTTGAGTGAAAATACAGCAACTGTAGCCATTTAAAAATTATAGTACAATCTTCACTATTGCAGAGCATTGTTTCTGGTTTTCAATTTTTTAAAATTGAGTAAAATGGCATTTAAGTATAGAACTTTCAACTCAAAGGGCTGTTCTGAATAAAGCTTGATTCTCCATCTTAAGAGAAGTTGTTGGGGGATGTCACATTGAAAAAAAATCAATTCTAACTACAGGAAGAAGAACTTTGACAAAGTTTTTAATTGATCACACCCAAAGGAAAGAATTGAGGTTAAGGAAGGTTAAATTCCTGGTTCTCTCTGCTGGTGGCCAGACAATAAACTTAGGAAATTGGAAAGTATATTCAGAGGAGGTGAAAAAGGGCTATAAGAACCCTGAAAACCAGAGCTTGAAAGTGGAAATTACATCTGGAGCAGACTCAGTGGAAGCAGGAGTTAGAAGAGTCTAAGACAGGGGCTCCTGGGTGGCTCAGTCGTTAAGTGTCTGCCTTCGGCTCAGGTCATCATCCCAGGGTCCTGGAATCGAGCCCTGCATCGAGCCCCGCATCTGGCTCCCTGCGCCTGCTTCTCCCTCTCCTACTCCCCCTGCTTGTGTTCCCACTCTTGCTGTCTCTCTGTCAAATAAATAAAATCTTTAAAAAAAAAAAAAAGTATAAGACAAGGGGAATACCCTGTGTTACTTCCAAAAACAAACGGAGGGAGGGAGGAAGGAAGGAAAGAAAAATTGAGACTGGATTACAACTGTCAGATGTGCTAAAAACACAGGACACAAGTTAGGAATCTTGGTAAAGGGAAGGGAATTCTGTGCTAAGTAGGGCAAGGAATGGTTATTGGAATGGAGTAATTGACCATGTAGTCCATGCCAGAGCACCAGGACCTATCCTGCACTTGCACAACCCTAAGAGTGGTGGCCCTACTGCCCCCTCCCCCCTCCTTGCTTCATTTCTAGTCCCAGCCCTACAGAGCTCAGAGAGCTTAGGAATCTCTTCTTTGATCATCAACCTCCTTATCCCTCCCCACTGCGTCTTTACCTTTCCATAAAAACCTTTTCTCTTCTTGCTTTTTCTTCCATAATTAAATATCAAATACTTAAGTGTCAAGTAGTGTAATAGGAAAAAAATTCCTATTTCTAGACTGCACTTGCTTATAGTAGGAAATAGGTCCATTCTTCCAGCAGTTCATCTTCAGATATAGATGATCCTTCAACTCTGGAAAGCAGTGGAAATTAACCTGAGAAGTGCAGGAAACAGGTTAGCGGATAGTTTGAGCATGTTGCATGCAAGAGACCACAACCAGCTGATGAGGAGGTGTAGAAAGAAGTACCTCAGAGCCAGAAGAGGAAGGCAAGATCAGAGTGGGGGTGTCTAGGCAAGGGAAGGTGAGGCACAACCCTCCAGAAGTTCTCACCCAATGGCAGGCAGAGGTGATGATCTGAATTCCTTGAGTCATGAAACAGTCCTGACAGGGACTGTCATTCAAAAGCTGTGGCAGGCAGGTAGCATTACCCCTCAGTGTCCCTTGAGGTATGCTGAGCCCAAGACGGAAGCTCTCCTTGCAGTGGCTTGTGAAAACTCAGTAGTACTGTCTTGTCAGCATGGCAGATGGGCATCTTGACAGGAACCCATGCCCAAGTAGAGCTAACTATCCTAAGACCCAAGTTCTGTTGAACAACTCTCCTGCTTCCCCTACAGCATAAGTAAATGAGTGTTGTTCTGTCTGTCATTTTCTGTTTATGGACCTTTTCCTTTCCATCCTCAGTCTGTATTCCCTTTAACTTTTCGGTCCTTGAGCCTGGCTCATGCCACTGGCCCAGTGGCTAAACTGAATGCATCTCTCCTACCCAAATCTAAATTGGTAGATCCTTAGGATTCCATATTGAGATTTGTCTATTCCCTAAAACCTTTGCTAATTTCCGGGATCACTTACCCCACTGTGCTCCTTAGACACATTGTGGGGCAGTAAGGTGAGTGTAAAGGACTTGGAGTTAGGCAAACCTCAGTTGGAATTCCTGTCTCCATCCCTGATTAGCTCTGTGATCTACAATAAATAAATTTCTCTGAGCTCTGTGTCTTCATCTGAAAAGTCGGAATTGTCTCTTGTATAATGTCTTTATAATTATGGAAAACCTTCAGGGACAATTCCTGGCAGGTAGTAGATACCCAGTACTCATTGACTTTTATTGTTAGCTTTTAACATGTGGAAATTGTGGGCAGAAATGGACTTAGGATAGAGGGATCAGGAAGCCAGGAGTGGGAGAAGAAAAGTAAAAGTGGGGACAGGTGTTAACACCAGTATGTATGAAGCACCCCCAAACTGGGGTGTGTCCAGACCCAAAGGCAGAGGGGGCCAGGATCAGAAGCTAGGAGAGCAGTGAGAGACTGTGTAGAAGCAGCTGGTGACCAGAGGTCAAGGCACAGATGTGGCCACTGACTCAGTGCTGGGATCAAGGAGAACATGCACCAAGTGTTCTTGACCATGATGTAGTAAAAAATATACAGGTAATATTTACTGTACACTTACTTTGCCAGATCCCATTCTAAGTATACCATCCTATTTAGTCCTCACAACAGCCCTATGAATTAGGTACTATGGTCTCCAATTTACAGATGAAGACACTAAAACAGACTGTTTAAATGACTTTCCTAAAAAATACAACTAGTAAGTGGCAGAGCCTAGATGCCAACCCAGACAGTTGTCTCCAGAGCCTTCTTTTAACTACCCTCTAATAGTTATCTTCAACTGGAAGCCTTTCTTTGCTGATCCAGGGGCCGAACCGTAAGATGGGGAGCCTGCAAAGGACCAGCCAAAGTGAATAATCCCCAATGTATATATTGTTTTTTTTTTTTTTTTAAGATTTTATTTTTAAGTGATCTCTACACCCAGCGTGGGACTCGAACCCACAACCCCGAGATCAAGGTTGCATGCTCCACTGACTGAGCCAGCCAGGGGCCTGTGTATTTATTGTTAACATTTTTTAAAAAAGATTTTATTCATTTATTTGACAGCGAGAGCAGGAACACAAGCAGGGGGAGTGGGGGAGGGAGAAGCAGGCTTCCCGCCGAGCAGGGAGCCCAATGCGGGGCTCGATCCCAGAACCCTGGGATCATGACCTGAGCCATGATCTGAAGGCAGATGCTTAACGAACGACTGAGCCACCCAGGCGCCCCTGTTGTTAACATGGTTAATACAGCATTTGTGAAGACTACTGTGTTCCTGGCACTGGGCTAATTGCGCTTTGCCTGCATTCTTTAATCCCACAACTATTATGTAAGACATTATCTATTTTGTAAATGAACCAATGAGGCTCATGGAGTTGCTTTCTTCCCATTCACATCAAAGGAGTACTACTTTCCCTATTCACTCCTCAACCTACAACTATCCCATGAGCCAGTCTCTCCACTGAAACTCTTCTTACTGAGATTACAAATGGCCTTCCAGGGGCTAAATCGAGGGGACATTTTTCAGTGATCAACTCAATGACTCTTCCGCACTCCTCCTTGATTTCCCCATCCTTCATCATTTCCAGGACCACAGTTTGCTCCAGGGCTAACTCTCTGACCTATTTTTTCTCCCTATATCTCCATATCTTTTTTCCTGTGCTGGTCCTTATATATAGGTCTTCTCCAAGAGCACGTTCACGTGTCTCCTTAATCTACATACTCTCCTTGCATGTTTTCACCCACTTCCTGGTCTCTGCTACCGCTGGAATGCTGAAGGTAGGGGAAATGGTGCCATATCCTTGACACCCATAAGAGTTGAGGCAAAGATCATTAACTACTAGAGACTGCTGCTGCCCATAGAAGCATGTCAAATTGAAGTGTATCAAGGTGAACACATGAAACCTTCTGTACCACCCCCAACCCTACCTAGCCTGACCTCACCTCTCCCTCCTCCTTTCCATTTTTTTTTTAAAGATTTTATTTATTTATTTGACAGAGACACACAGCAAGAGAGGGAATACAGCAAGGGGAGTGGGAGAGGGAGAAGCAGGCTTCCCGCGGAGCAGAGAGCCCGATGCGGGGCTCGATCCCAGGACCCTGGGACCATGACCTGAGCCGAAGGCAGACGCTTAATGACTGAGCCACCCAGGCGCCCGTCCTTTCCATTATTTTGATTGAGGTGCTGCCATCCACCCAGTTACTCAAACCTAGAACCTGAAAGTCATGTTTTCCTCCTCCACCCTCCTAATCCACTCTATATCTAAGAGCTATCAATTCTACCTCCTTCATCTTTTGAATTTAGTCACTTCTCTCTACAGACCTGGGAAAGCCTAGTGGAAGCCAACAGTATCTCTCACCTCACTGACCAGCATAGTTTATTCCTTGCCCTCCTCCCTCCAGTTTTGTCCCTTCCACTGTTTTCTCCACTCTAGTCATAAACTTTTTAAACCTCCAATTCAGGGAATAACATGATGAGATTTGAGGTTTTAACCCCTCTTTTGACCTTCATTGCTCTCAGGATAAACTCTAACCTCTTCAACAAAGCATTCAAAGCTGTCTGGAATCCTGGTTCTGTCTGCCTTTGAGCCTCATTTCTTGCCACCCAATCTTGCTCTTCAGTTGAACGAAACTTCTTGTGGTTTCCTAAGTACACCATGCCTGGCTAATTTTTTTCAGCATTTAACACTCAGGTTAAAAGTCACCTCTTTCAGGAAGCTTTCTCTAATCCTCCAGGCTAGGTTAGGTATTTCTCCTTAATGCTCCTATATTTCTTTGTGGATATTTCTGTCATTTTATCTTCAGTATTGATTTATGATTATTCCCATACCTATATTCACCACCAGTTGAAAAGTTATTGGTTTAGGACAGGGTCTATTGAATTCCCAGATTCTAGTACACAGTAGGCCGTTAGTGAATATTTGTTGAATGAATAAATAATTTTCCCAAAGGGTATAATGGAAATAAATTCTGAAACTGGAACCAAAATCTGTGGCACTCTAAAACCCATGTTCTCCCACTAATGCACCCCACTAATGCTTACATCAAACAGTACAAAAAGATATGCACCACCCAAAAGAATTGAAAGTAGGTCTTGAAGAGATGTTTGTACACCCATGTTCATAGCAGCATTATTCACAATAGCTAAAAAGTGGAAGCAACTCAAATGTCCATTGATGGGTCAATGAATGGATAAGCAAAATGTGGTATGTACATACAATGGAATATTATTTAGCTTTAGAAAGGAAGGAAATTCTGTAATATGCTACAACGTGGGTGAATCTTGAGGACATTATGCTAAGCAAAATAAATCAGTCATAGAAAAAGACAAGTAATTGCATGATTCCATTTATATGAGATACTTAGTGTAGTCAAAATCATAAAGGCAGAGAGTATAATGGTGGTTGCCAGGGGCTAAGGGGAGGGGAGAATGGGGAGTTACTGTTTAATTGGTATGGAGTTTCAGTTTCACAAGATGAAAAGATTTATAGGGACGGATGGTGGTGATGGTTGCACAACAATTTGAATATATTAATACCACTTAAAAATGGTTAAGAAGGAAGTCAGAAAGACAAATACCATATGATTTCACTCATACGTGGAATTTAAGAAACAAAACAGATGAACATAGGGGAAGGGAAGGAAAAATAAAATAAGATGAAAACAGAAAGGGAAGCAAACCATAAGAGACTCTTAACTCTAGGAAATAAACTGAGGGTTGCTGGAGGGGGGATGGGTGGGGGATGGGGTAACTGGGTGATGGATATTAAGGAGGACACTTGAAGTAATGAGCACTTGGTGTTATATGCAACTGATGAATCACTAAATTCTACCTCTGAAACTAATAATACAGTGTATGTTAATTAAATTGAATTTAAATAAATTTTTTTAAATAGTTAAGAACATAAATTTTATGTTATGTGTATTTTACCAAAATAAAAAACAAATTTCAAAAAAATCCCCAAACAAAGATATACTGCAAGGAGTCTTGGTCCCATTTTTCTCCTCCATCTTGCTGATTCCCACTCTGCTCCAAGGTAACCAATCTTGGTAGTTTCTGTATCTCCTTCCAGGTTTTCTTTTTGCAAATATAAACAAATATAAAGCTATAATATTCACCTTCTGACTTTTTAAAAGATATATTTTTTTAACTTCTTTACTTTTTCTGGAGTATGTAGCAAAAGGAGCTAGTAAGTACCCAGTTTGAATGAACTCACAAGATGGAGACTTGGAAGAAGATAGGATAGCTATTTGAGGAGAGGGTAAAATAATCTTGCTTGCTCACCGCCATGAGGCTTCTAGGGACATCCAGGGTCCCCCAGGACAGAGCCTTGGTCAGCTATCTCTCCTAGGCAGATTCTCAAGCTCCTCAGAGTTACCCTTTCTCTGGAACTCTCCTAGGCCACTCCCTCTGATGTAATATCTGGGTTTGGACAGAAAGGAGGGAGCTGTCTGGGCTGGCTCCTCTTTTCTGAGCTGTCTGGGCTGGCTCCTCTTTCTAGAACAATTCAGTCTTCATGGCAACTCAGACCTCAGCTCCAACATCTGCATTCTGAAGCAAGGATGGCTGAGATGGACAGAATGCTTCATTCTGGAAGGAAACAGTGTTCCAGGTCGAGCTGAATCTGCCAAACACAGACCCTCTCTGTGGTTTTAGAAGAAATCTTGACAAGTCTTATCATGTGGTTTTTCTACGCCTTGATACCTTGTTTACTCATAGGTAAGTATGAATTAGAATATAGCCAATAGCTTGGGATTCAAATATAGGTTAAGAAGGTGAAAAATGCTTTAGCAGAGTTTGGAGTTTCAATATATGTTTAGAACATCTTATGTCTGTTTTTAAGAATGTTTCTCACATCTTAAACCTTCATCCCCACTCACAAAGCAAAAGCCTGCCTTCTGTTCGAAAATCTCTTTCCTAATGATCACAGAACAATTTGGAAAGATAAAGTATCAAAACAGATAGTCTAAAGATTAGCAGAGCTCCATGCATTTTATTATTTATCTCATCTGGTTTTAAAAGTACAACATGGTTATCTTGGTTTCTCTGTGTGTGCCTTGGAGATGTTAACTGTAAGGACAGGTTAAAGTAAAATAAAGATTCTAACAAAATATATATGAATAAAAAGGCTTAATTTGCAACCTTAGTATTGGGTATAAGACTTACAAAAATTGGATTTCTCCTGGTCACTGCAGAAAAAGTAGCAGTTAGGTACTCCATAGCATTTTTAAAAATTTGGTTTGGAGTATTTTCCCTACCAGTAAGATTATATAATTTTCTCTGCTCCATTCCTGGCTGCGTACCTACATGCTTTGTTGTTCCAAAATTGAAGCTCCTTAGTCTTTGATGTTTCTTCATGTCAAAACACTTTCAAGAGAAATTTCTAATTTTAATGCTCCAAGTTACTGGGCGCTTTGCAGTGTTGGTGGGAGCCTTGAGTACTTTCTGTCTTCTCTTTTTTCTTTTCTTTCTTTCTTTCTTTCAACACTGAGGACTAATTGTTTTAGTTTAAATCAGGCAACAAATTAGTCTAAAGCGATTTGCAAATGTTTAGAATGGCTTTAACATCAAATTTATAATGTCCCTTCCTAGCTCAAAAACTTCGCAGCTCCCAATTGTTCAGCACATGGCATTCAAATCTGCTGTTTGTTTCATGACCCAGCCTATTCAGGCCTCAACTCTATTCCCCACTGTTCTTTGACAACAAATAGGAACCACAGGTAGCTGCTGTCTTCACAATTGACCTGTAACACCCTCATTTCTTCCTCCCAGCTTTATGATTGTTATTTCCTACCAAAGCACCATCTCCAGTTCCTTTCCCCATCTCGAGCCCATACTCCCATCATCATTCCCTCCCCCTTTAGACTCTTCCCAGACTTCTCTCTCCTTTGACCCTTGACCCACATACTCTGCTTAGGTGGGTTACTTCTGTTTCCTGCACTGGCCTGAGGGAAAGGCCTGGACATCTTTTCTGGTGTCCTCACAGCTCCTAGCATAGGCTAATCATGTTGGTTATTTGGTTAGTTAGCTGACTGACTATTGGTGAAACAAGTTGCCAGAAAAACACACCCCCAGTAAGCCAGAGGGAGAATATGGGGAGGCTAAATGAGAAGGGGAAGGCTCAACACTTTTTTCCCGGATTCTTTTTCTTTTACTGAGGTGTAATTGACATATAACATTATATTACTTTCAGGTATACACCATAATGATTTGGTATTTGTATATATTGCAAAATGATGACCATAATAAATCTAGTTAACATCCATCATACAGAGTTGTGTAACCGAACCAATGTGAGTTGGCTCCTTGACGAGTCAGAAACTGCACCAAGTTAATTTGTTGCGCAAAGAAAACTTTTATTTGCAGCAAATAAGGAGATCATGGTGAATGGCTTCCAAAGCGGTTACTCTACCAGGGTGAATGGGTTCTTTTTGTTTAGAGTTAGAATGAATATTTTCGATAGGAAAGCCCTGTCATGGTATATAGAGGTGGGCATAAGGTTGCACATGTGCCTTAAGGAAACATGCCTAGGCCCACATTGTATGTTATATAAATGAGGCAAGTGCTCCTCCTTGGGCAGAGATTTTAGTATCACAATGAAGTAAAGGTAATTGCTGGTCATTCCAGAGGTCACTCCATGGTCCATCTCCGTAGGCACTAGCCTGGGGTTTAGCTCAAACAGTCTGGGTGGTCTGGGGCAGTGGAAGGTGTTGTCAGGGCAGTCGCCATCCCCTGGGTGTGGTTTTGGGTTTCATTTGCCTGAGTTAAGAGGTAAGCCAGAAAGAGAGCTTAAGGAAAAATACAAGACGAAGGTTAGTGAGTATAAGCAGGTGGGCAGTAAATGGCAGGTCTTGGAGTCTAGCTGGTGACAGTTACACATTTTTTTTCTTGTGATGCAATACAGTACTATTTAAATACTTCAAAATATGCAATACAGTATTATTTAGTCACCATGCTGTACATTACATCCCTAGCACTTAACCGATTTCACTTAAAACTGGAAATTTTTACATTTTGACTCCCTTCACCCATTTTTAAATTTGACATTTCTTCAGTGAGGCAGTCCAGTCTTTTAAGCCTTTTCTGAAACTCTTGTTTCAAACAGACCTGGAAATGAGTGTGCTCTTCTGCCACCTATAAACCTATACAGAAAAAAACAAAAACAAACCAGTAGAGGAAACCACAAGGATGTCAGAGCCAGAGAGGCCTGTGTGAGTTTTGACTCCATCGCTTGCTAGCTCAGTGACTATATCATACAACTTCATTTTCTTCATCAATGAAATGGTTAAAAAAAAAAAAGCCACCTTGAAATTGGGAGGTGTTTTAATTAAATGAGGTGATGCAAACAAAAGCACTCTGAAGATGTCAATGTGTGCCACCCCCCCATGTTAATTATTATCTGTGGGTTACGTAAACAGGTGGTGTTCTTAGCACATAATTGCTTTAGCCGAGGTTGCCTTTGTGCAATTTTGACTATTTCCTCTGGATGGTGTAGGTGATTGCAATGAATTCTGCAAATTCTAAATGAACTTCTGTTAGTTACTCTAGATCCCTGGACAGACGGGTAGAAGTTCTTGCTCACCTTTATAGAATTCATTTGCCTTGCCCTGACCCTCCCAAATGATAGTGTGTGATTCAGGAAACTGATCCCTGCTACCACCACCACCACTCCCACTACTACTCTTTCCACTACTACTACTACCCACTACATCAATAACAATAGCAGCAACCACAATCACAGTGGCCATTTCTGAGCTCACACTGTGCTCTAGTTTAGCAAAAATGTTCTCTTGACTTCTCACAATCCTGCAAAGTATGTGGTATTATCACCATTTTACATACTATGAAACAGAGATTCAGAGAGGTTCAGTAATTTGCCCAAATGTATACATCTAGTAAGTGGGAGAATTGAGATTTGACTCTGGTTTGGCTGGTTCCAGAGCCTGTGCTCTCTGCAGAAGCTGAGACACTGAAGCAGGCTAGGAAAAGGGAGGACAGACGAAGTACAGGGAATAAAGATGCTGCTACCTTTTCTGAGCATTTGCTATAAGGGCTATTAGAAGTAGAAGTGGCAGAAGGGGACCCAAATGAAGGAGTTGATAGTAGACCCAGTGGGAGGAAGCCAGCATTGGCATCATTCTAGGGAGGAGATACAAGGATTTCTGTCTGGAAAATTTGCCCAAGGGCTTTGAGGTGGGTAGCCTTTACTTAGCAGCAAAACTGTCTAATGTAAGATAGATAGGGGATTAGGAAAAAGGAAGTCAGGCTGAGGCTAAATTCACTAAGGGAGCCAAGACCTGATTCACTTACTTAGTTTTCATTCATTTGGTATTTCTGGTACCTTCTGTGTGCTGGATTCTGGTCTAGGGGCTGATTATAGAAGAACAAATTGGAGTCCCTTGTCTTCAGGGAACATAGAGCCTGCTGGGAAATACATTTAAGTCTTTGACATTTGGGAACCTAACATTATAGTTTCAGCTATTCTTTGGCAATGAGAGGTAAGGTCTGCATTAGTGGTACTCAGTCTCAAATGCACATTGTAATCACCTGGGGAGCTTTTAAAACTGAATGCCTGGGTTTCACAGCCAGAGATTCTGAATTAATCTAGGGTGCTTCCTGGGCATTGGAATTTTTCAAAACTCCTGGCTGGGGCTCCTTAGAGAAGTGGTTAATTCCAGGACTGGGCAGAGAAAATACAGGACAAGTCTGGAGCATTTGTGGGAAGTAAGAAAGTACTCAAAAAAGGATGGAGTCCTAAATGAAATGAGTATTCTGGATTGGATCCTGGATTGGAAAAAAGAACATTAGTGGAAAAACAGACGAAATTCAAGTAAGTGTAGAGTTTGGTTAATGGTAATGTACCAATGTTGGTTTCTTAGTTTTGACAAATACATCATGGTTATGTAAGATGTTAGTATTAGGGGAAGCTGGGTGAAGGATATGTAGAAACTCTGTGTGTACTGTCTGAAGTTTTTTCTGTAAATCTAAAATTATTCCAAAAATAAAAATTCTATTAATAAAAATAACATGTAAAAAGAGATTGAGGAGTGGGAGTAAATAAAAAGGACACAAGAAGCAATCTGAAGGAGCACCTGGGTGGCTCAGTCCATTAAGCATCTGCCTTTGGCTCGGGTCATGATCCCAGGGTCCTGGGATAGAGCTCCATATCGGGTTTCCTGCTTAGCGGGTAGCCTGCTTCTCCCTCTCCCTCTGCCACTCACCCTGCTTGTGCTCTCTCTCTGTCCAATAAATAAGTAAAATCTTAAAAAAAAAACAAAACAAAAAACAAACAGAACAACAATCTGAAAGAGCTCCCAATGGCCAAAGCTGGAATAATTTGAGTAACAAAGTAACAATAGAATAAAATAAATATTCATGACCCCATACTAATATAAGTAGTTGAATGAATGAATGAATGAATCAATGACTGAGTGAATAAATAGTGGAGAAGGAACAGCTCTTCCTTACAGAATTCCAATTAATAAATAGTAAATCATGGTTAATTAGAACATCACAGCAATAATTGTTGCAAATAATAGCCACTAGTAAGTGCTAAAATTAATGGATAAAAGTTTGAGAAGCAGAATATTCACACAGTGTCAAAGTATGTCCCCTAAGTTATTTATTAATTATAAAGGGGGAAAATGGTAACTTTTATAGTAGAGACACCACCTTAACCAAGTGACCAAGGTTAACATCACCTGCAATAAGACATTAAC